CTCTATATATATATACTCTATATATATTCTTATTACTAATTAAACATCCCATCATTAAAACATCACTTTCGGGTTTGTACATAAGATATTTTGCGGGACATACTCCGAGAAAATTTCGTTTTTAAGAGACAATTATAGAAGGTGAATAATAATGTTATTGTTCCTCTAAAAAAAAATGATTTTTTTACGAATAAATCTTTCGAATTGACTGAAATTCAGTGATAAGAGTAATGAAATAACAGACCATGACTATATCGCTTTGGTTGCACTATCCACGGTTATAATGCACGTGTTTTACATGGTTAAGTGCTAAATACCACCAACTAGCACATTAGCGTGTAGATGAGCGTGGAATGTAGTACAAGCTGCACACTGTCCGTGTTGGGAGTGTAATGAGGCGTGGTGTGCATCCAGCTACCCACACACACGGGTGCGACAGCGCTCTTAGTAACGGCGCATGACGAATTACAGACATGTGGTTTACTTCATTTCCGGTAGCAGGTATGTCGTCCTACGACCCTGTAAGGTTAGGGTACACCTGGTAGGCCTCTCGGCAATACAGAGATAGGTTGCACCTTTGCATTGCTAATCGGCATCATACATAACTCCCAGACGTGGCATCATTGCTCGGATCCATGTGCTGGATCCATGTGCTGGATGGCCACCCAGACGAATGCTCAGCTCTGGCATCTGTATGTAGAGTGGTCAACCACATCTAAGCTAGAGCTGGGATCTGTCCTATGAGGGACCAATCATAATAAGCCTAATATAGTCTGAATGAAGCCATGTACGGAGACCTAAATGTCGGGCAGACGTAGACCACCTTCAAAAGAATACGTGGTTATAATTGGCAAACTTCCTGTATACGATATGCAGGAATATTTCGAAAACATTTTCGTTCTTTTGTTGAATGATTTTTTGTGTACAAAAAGTATCCTTAAAACTTGAGTTGTCCCTTTTTAACAAATTCTCCAGATTTTGTACAAATATGACGAAAATATCGACGGTTTTTAAGGCAGTCCCAAGTCGGCAACATTCATATAGTAATTGAAGTCATGTCTATCATCATGATTACTACGTCACAATTAACTTCAACCAATCACAGTCTTGATTGACGTGTTTCGCAAGTATACCATCATGAAGTCTAAATGACATAATTTGACATATTAACTATAAAACATCGTTACAAACATGGTAAAAGAACGACTAACAAGAGGCAAACTGTCAATCAGATCCATGTCTGTGTCGGATACTATATTCAAAGGTCAATTCACTCTCAAATTATCAAGGTGTGCATGTGGGAACCGCACTTTGGTCCAAAACAAGTCTACCTAGTCAATGTTTAGCACTCTCGTATATCATCATTACATCTATAAAACGTCCGTCGATCGGTTACAGGCACAATCCGTACTACTTGGTATGGCCTTCCGCCAATGACAAGAAGGGTCAGATTCTATGCCCTTCGTTTGAAGCGCAATTTTACGAGTCTGCCCAGAGAAGGTGTTTTGTCTGGAATCGGATAAATGCTCTCCAAATTGTACAAACCTTGTAGTGCAGAACAGACAAACGAGACGCCCCAAGCCTTTCATATCGCACCAGTGGATACTTATTCCGAGGAGCACTGATGGCTACTTGACTTCGGAGACAGGTTATGCGTTGAAGACCCCGACTCTTACAAACAGTTTTATCTGTATTCCCTTAAGGCACTTAAAACAAAGAAGATCTGCAGGGTTTATGTTCGACTTTAATTGGTCCTTCTCCGAAGCAGCGAAAACGAGTTTTCCGTAAACTAGGGTTAGCCAGGCAAAACTATAAAATGGTTCTGGTTATCTGATGATGATTTACGTTGGTATATCGTTTTTTATCCATGATACTAAGCTATTTTCTCTATCATTTGCAAGTTACCTAATTTATGGTATCATGTGACTTCTTCATAAATTCACAATACAACTGCCCAAGTGTTTATGTATCTGGCTTCTTCTTCAAGACGTCAAGATGTTGTCATGGTATTGGTTATTTAGAAATCGCAACTTTCAGTCGAAATACTTGTATGAAAGGATTTGTATTATTTAAACGAATTCCTTAGTTGTCGCGTGTTTGTTGGTCTATATAATATTGTTTTCGACGTTTTTTGTCCATGTTACATTGTATGATGTACTGAGTTTTATCGGTTGAACATTGTTTGTTAGTGCGTGCTGGTCTGTATATTATTGGCTGTGGTGTAGTGTGTCGGTTTTAGGTTGTTGTTACGTTGTAGCGTGTTTTGTCATTGTTACGTTGTTGGTTGTAGCGAGTTTTGTCATTGTTACGTTGTTGGTTGTAGCGAGTTTTGTCAGTGTTACGTTGTTGGTTGTAGCGAGTTTTGTCGGTGTTGGTTGTAGCGTGGTTTTGTCGGTGTTACGTTGTTGGTTGTAGTGAGTTTTGTCATTGTTACGTTGTTGGTTGTAGCGTGTTTTGTCAGTGTTACGTTGTTGGTTGTAGCGAGATTTGTCATTGTTACGTTGTTGGTTGTAGCGAGTTTTGTCGGTGTTACGTTGTTGATTGTAGCGAGATTTGTCAGTGTTACGTTGTTGGTTGTAGCAAGATTTGTCATTGTTACGTTGTTGGATGTAGCGTGTTTTGTCGGTGTTACGTTGTTGGTTGTAGCGAGTTTTGTCATTGTTACGTTGTTGGTTGTAGCGAGTTTTATCGGCGTTACGTTGTTGGTTGTAGCGAGGTTTGTCATTGTTACGTTGTTGGATGTAGCGTGTTTTGTCGGTGTTACGTTGTTGATTGTAGCGAGATTTGTCAGTGTTACGTTGTTGGTTGTAGCAAGGTTTGTCATTGTTACGTTGTTGGTTGTAGTGTGTTTTGTCGGTGTTTCGTTGTTGGTTGTAGCGAGTTTTATCGGCGTTACGTTGTTGGTTGTAGCGAGTTTTGTCAGTGTTACGTTGTTGATTGTAGCGAGATTTGTCGGTGTTACATTGTTGGTTGTAGCGAGTTTTGTCATTGTTACAGTGTTGGTTGTAGTGAGTTTTGTCGGTGTTACGTTGTTGGTTGTAGCGAGTTTTGTCATTGTTACGTTGTTAGTTGTAGCGAGTTTTGTCGGTGTTACGTTGTTGGTTATAGCGTGTTTTGTCATTGTTACGTTGTTGGTTGTAGTGTGTTTTGTCGGTGTTTCGTGGTTGGTTGTAGCGAGTTTTGTAGGTGTTACGTTGTTGGTTGTAGCGAGTTTTCTGTCAGTGTTACGTTGTTGGTTGTAGCGTGTTTTGTCATTGTAACGTTGTTGGTTGTAGCGTGTTTTGTCGGTGTTACGTCGTTGGTTGTAGCGAGTTTTGTCATTGTTACGTTGTTAGTTGTAGCGAGTTTTGTCGGTTTTACGTTGTTGGTTATTGCGTGTTTTGTCATTGTTACGTTGTTGGTTGTAGTGTGTTTTGTCGGTGTTTCGTTGTTGGTTGTAGCGAGTTTTGTCAGTGTTACGTTGTTGGTTGTAGCGGGATTTGTCCTTGTTACGTTGTTGGTTGTAGCGTGTTTTGTCATTGCTACGTTGTTGGTTGTAGCGAGTTTTGTCGGTGTTGGTTGTAGCGTGGTTTTGTCGGTGTTACGTTGTTGGTTGTAGGGGGGTTTGTCATTGTAACGTTGTTGGTTGTAGCGAGTTTTGTCGGTGTTGGTTGTAGCGTGGTTTTGTCGGTGTTACGTTGTTGGTTGTAGGGAGTTTTGTCATTGTAACGTTGTTGGTTGTAGCGAGTTTTGTCGGTGTTAGGTTGTTGGTTGTAGCGAGTTTTGTCATTGTTACGTTGTTGGTTGTAGTGTGTTTTGTCGGTGTTTCGTTGTTGGTTGTAGCGAGTTTTGTCGGTGTTGGTTGTAGCGTGGTTTTGTCGGTGTTACGTTGTTGGTTGTAGTGAGTTTTGTCAGTGTTACGTTGTTGGTTGTAGCGAGATTTGTCATTGTTACGTTGTTGGTTGTAGCGAGTTTTGTCGGCGTTACGTTGTTGGTTGTAGCGTGTTTTGTCAGTGTTACGTTGTTGGTTGTAGCGGGATTTGTCATTGTTACGTTGTTGGTTGTAGCGTGTTTTGTCAGTGTTACGTTGTTGGTTGTAGCGAGTTTTGTCGGCGTTACGTTGTTGGTTGTAGCGTGTTTTGTCAGTGTTACGTTGTTGGTTGTAGCGAGATTTGTCATTGTTACGTTGTTCGTTGTAGCGTGTTTTGTCGGTGTAACGTTGTTGGTTGTAGCGTGATTTGTCATTGTTACGTTGTTGGTTGTAGCGTGTTTTGTCGGTGTTTCGTTGTTGGTTGTAGCGAGTTTTGTCATTGTTACCGTGTTGGTTGTAGTGAGTTTTGTCGGTGTTACGTTGTTGGTTGTAGGGGGGTTTGTCATTGTAACGTTGTTGGTTGTAGCGAGTTTTGTCGGTGTTGGTTGTAGCGTGGTTTTGTCGGTGTTACGTTGTTGGTTGTAGGGAGTTTTGTCATTGTAACGTTGTTGGTTGTAGCGTGTTTTGTCGGTGTTTCGTTGTTGGTTGTAGCGAGTTTTGTAGGTGTCACGTTGTTGGTTGTAGCGAGTTTTGTCAGTGTTACGTTGTTGGTTGTAGAGAGTTTTCTGTTAGTTGTAGCGAGTTTTCTTGGTGTTGGTTGTAGATTGACTTTTCGGATATACTTCATTTTCGCCTTTTGGTTGTATCATATTTCGTCTTGGTGTACCTTGGTGGGTTATATACTGTACGTTGGAATGGTTTGTCTCTATGTATTTTGGTAGCACTTTTCTTGGCATTGTTGGTTGCATAATGTGTTTTCCTTGATGTACCTTGGCTATCTATATACTTAGCCTTTCATTATTGGTTGTATCATGTTTTCCTCGATGTACCTTGGCTATCTATATACTAAGTCTTTTCATTATTGGTTGTATCACATTTTCCTCGATGTACCTTGGTTATCTATATACTAAGTCTTTTCATTATTGGTTGTATCACATTTTCCTGTGTAGTTTTGTGATCTATATTCTTTACCTTTTATTGTTTTTTGTAGCGTGTTTTTCCTGCCTGACGATGAAACACCAGTGAGTATCAGCGTCATCCCGTGTGCATCAGCGTTAGAATGGAACGTCACCTACTCTACGTACAACAAAAGTGGTAAGTACCCCCACTAGCTCAGGGTAATAGAACATAACCCACAGCCAACGTTCATTGACAACGTTTGGAAACAACGTCACGCTATTTTATTGTCATAAACATGGTAGATGTAATATCAGTTTGTTGTTTTGCCAGTTATGTGTACTATATACGTCTTTGAACAAAAGTAAAAAAATACATACATCGGAAAAAAACAGTCCGAAAATTATCTACAGATGTTTATTTCTATCTCAGTGATAGTAGGTACCCTTGTTGTCATCTGCCTCTGTCTTCCTCGCTCTATAACGAGGTCTTGACATCGGATACACGTGCTCGATAGCTTCTAACCAAACAGACCATTTATTAGCATTAGTTAGTTTAGTTTCTCCGTAATCATTTCTGTGAAAGGCATATGGTGAATGCCTCGTCAGTATACGCGTTAGGGAGTTTGACGTGTCAGACAGTACAAGTTGGTTTTTATCCGCGGTGCTTGGTGTTCAGCTTGTGGTATTCCACTTTTACAACGCGTGTATGTTCTGTTATAAAGGTCTTTTGATGTTTTAGGCAACTAATTGCTTACAAAAAGAACAACACTGTTCAAAAAGGACATTCACTGGTGAAAAAGGTCCCATTTATGATCCAAACTTGAATGAATAAATGTATCAAATGTTTTTAATAACAAGAAAGCAGTGTGCTTTTAGGTTCTATTTTCAATCCAAAGAAGAAATGGGTTTAGTGAAATATGCCCAAACTGCACTCCTGTATGGGAATCGCTGTTTACGAGAGAGAGAGAAAAAAGCTCTGTACCAGAATAGGGCGTTCGACTGGTGCATTCGTTTTATTTCTCACATGTGTTTTTTGTCAGTGTTTGTGAATACACATTTTAAAGTTATTATAAACATGATCCCCGGGGACGCACGTTGTGGTTAAAATCATTTGTTTCGCATCTCAACAATGCTGAAGATTAAAAGCATGCCTTAGGTTGTCGTGATCTGGGGCGACCTCCTGCTACATCGCGGAAGTTATCATTACTGTATAGTGTACATGTAGGGCAGTACCTCAGTGAATTGTTGAGAGGAAACTGCAGCACTAAGACAGTGTTAACTGTCCTGACCTGATGGCAGTATGTTCTGTATCAGATAAGTACACACAAACATGTTCTTATTTAACGGTATTATTTTTAAATGCCGATCTTACTCGCCTATTAGTGGATAATCGGAGACGTTGCCAAACGTTTAGTCATGGCCTCTATCCGTATCAGACTGTCCTCCATCTAACGCGAAGAGAATTTAAGGGAGATTAACCTGTCCTTACCGTCAGAATATTTAAAGGGTTCGTTTCAACAGAAAACTTAAAGACGATACTTAAAGCTGTAGCTTTCGTAGGGAGAAATAACGAAAGACCTACATTGGAAGGTGAAGGCACGGAGGCCATTCGGATACATAGATGGTAATCAATGTCTTTGGTGTATATAGAGAGTTTAAAACCATAGCTGAGTTTTGAAGGATTATTAACGCACTTAAATCGGGGATTAATTTCACTATTAAAACGATTATTTTAGCCTCGCCAACAGAGGTGATGTAATCGAGACTGCAGTGAGATGCTTGTTAAGCTGTACGTAATCCCGGACATAAGCGTGTTTCATGTAGCTTCCGATAACTCGACTTACATCGTGATAACGTCTCAATATCATCACATTCATGGCCTTTTGTCTTATGGTTTCCCGCATGCTTCCTACACATGAATGCACGTGTATTGCATATTTATGTTCATGAAACAATTTCTTACAATGAGTATTCGACATACTACTTCAATGTGTAAACACGAGTCAACGACAATTACATTTCAACGTATAGGCCGTTCGTTTAGCAGTTTTGCATTAAACGTGTTTAATAATTCTTGTGAAACGACTTATTGCATTTAACGTCACACCTACAAATACAAACATTTTAATTTGCATACAACATAATCCAGAATATTAGATAAAACTTTCTACACGTCATAAAGATTAATGATCTGAGGGAACATCCAGACACCATAATATGTTTGATACTTTCCAGCATATTTCGCATGGCTTGTATACTTAACGGCGACATATTTGTCGTACAATTTATATAAAATTCATATGTTATAAATACAAAATATGTGTTTGATTGCTAAACATTTAGTTTTATCATATGTTAATGATACACTAAATTGGTATTTACAATTGTGTTTGTTGCAGAACGAGGAGGGCGTCATTATTACAACCACACGGGTGCCGGAAAACACACGTTCACATTGAGTGGCAAGTTGATCTTCAAGATATCTCTACGGCCCCTTACTAGCGATACAAGAGTTCATTTCTTTGCAACGAAAAAACTAAATTATGTTGCCTACCCGGCGCTTCCCAATGACTACAAAGTAGAAGGAGCTGAGGTACAGCGACGGCGGATTTCCGTGTCGTGGAAGCCGAGCCCAGAGGAGACGCCCTATGACAATATCATCACTTACTGTGTTGCTATTAGTAAGGGCAGATCCTATCCTACACACTGCTCGCTAAATGCACATTTATATGGAGACAGTTATATGAAGCCGCCTGTAGGCGCTGGATTCGGATTCGCAAAGGAGAAAAGGCGTTTTAGAGAAATGGAGAGAAAGGCGAGGCCTGTGAAAGCTGCAAAGCGAGGACAAATAGTGTACAAGTGTATCGGAAGCCGCACGAATTATATTTATACACGGGCAAAGCCTAATACGAAGTACTTCATAGATGTGTACGTCATCAATAATAATACGAACCGCACCAGTTCGTATACAGGATTAGAGTTGAAGACAATGAGAGGGAAAAAAGTCAAACATCTAAAATTCAACAAAGTAAATAAAGTAACGTTAAGTCGACCAAAACAGAAGGAAGTGCTGAAGTTTAAATTGACATCGTTCACGAGTAAAGTGTTTCTTGCCATACATGCATGCAAAGGAAAGGTCAAATTTCAAGTGATGCGAAGGGGGAAAACTATAGTGAATACAAGGATAAGGAATATAAAGAAAATTACTTTGAGGGATTTGGAGCCAGATGATTACCTTGTGAAAATAACTAATTCACGGAAAGGAAAACGGAATGTTCGAGTGTTTATAAGCAATAGTACTAAAGTGTTTCAACAGTACCCGGATCTACCAAACGATACCCGGATACTAGTGTTCGATGAGCAAATCACGTGTAGCAATGTGACAATCGCCTGGCTAGAGGCGGGAGAAAGACAAACGTATTGTTTATACAAGAAAGAAATACCCGCAAGCACCAAACGGAAACGGCGGCGAAATAAAACGGATTCTTGTAAAACTTCACATGTAAAAAGTAGTACAAAAATCACTTGTAAAAAATTTAGTAGAAGACATAGGAATACTAAGACTGGAGTTACTACCTTTGAAATAACAGGCTTAAAGCCTGACACCTCCTATCAATTTGACATTGTTGTTAGTCGGCGGAAAAGACACTCATTGCCGTACCAAAGTGTTGTTACTCAAACAAGAAGCGAGTGTTGAGACTTTCTGTGAGTGTAAGGCGAGTGCATGGTATATGATATGTAGTTTGAATGTTATTCTGAAGGAGATCTGTGATTTTGCCACTAAGAGCGGGAATGTATTTCCGGACAAACTGTGTTACTGTGATGTCTTTTTGACCTAGACTAGATTTCCTGCCCGAGTACCTTTACTCTCCGCTAGACTTCACCATACACCTGGCGGAGCGTAGAAAAACCAAGGCAGATAATCCAGGGTATTTTTGACCAAGCTGGGGAATACAGTCCTCGCAACACTTTGTCATTAATTTTCTCAGATATTGCCACGCGTCAGCTGATTGGTCGGACAGGTCCCATACATAAAGCCCATTGACTGTTCGAGTAGTCATCCATGGAAGGTCTTCAAAATTCAACAATAGTATAGAATGTAACAAAACAGGGGGTGATGCATAATACGAATATCGATCTGACAAAACATTTAAGCATTTGGTTCAAAATACAACACAAAATCATATTGACTACCCTGTGTTTTCATTTAACGAAATAGAGAGTGTCGGCGTTATTTATCACTATATAAAACTTCTGTATTGGTAAATGATACCATTCCGGTACATGGTCATGACGATCTACTCAGTACGGGTTGTACTCTGTATAAGGGGGAGTAACTCTTTTATCTCCTCACTTCGAGCTAGGTTGTAACATTCCGAACCCCTGATATTTGGGAGATGTTGAGAGGATGAAGGAAATAATTCATTGGGAAGAAATGTGAGCTATGGTGTATTATTACGTTCGTTTTAGAGAAAGATACTAAGTCCCAATAACACCAAATTCTGAATAACTACTGGACTGATGTAAGTTTAATTTCTGAAAGACTGATCGTTTTCTATGATATTCAGATATTGTTACATTGTTTTTAATTTGACAAAAATATTATTCTTGATGCGTGCAATACATGTATGATTTGTAAAGTATTCGATAAATTACACATCCCCGCATGTAACAACCAACGGGAAAGAGAAAAATTAAATATCACTCATTGAGAAAACTATAGATGGAAACCATTGTCGATGTTATTTAAACCCCCATATACAATGTTGTGTATCTGTTAATGTGGCCGCTTGTGTTACTGAGAAAAGTCTTCATATTAAATGTTGTCAACACTATACACGCGACACGTCACATCACTCATTGTCTTTGAATTCATAAGGTAAGGTATATCGGTAAATGGACTACCATGTCAATTGGTGAAAGCAGTATTCCGTTGGTTTGTGTTCCATATACGATGCTTGTCATTTATAAGTATGTTAGTGTATATATATAAATCTACTATGTTTTGTATACGTTGTAGTAAGATTCATTGTAGTAATATATTTATATAGGTCTTCATTTAATGTGAGTTATTTTAGAAAACTACAATGTACGTATAGCAATTACCTTCTAGTACTACATTGTGGGTATATACAACTACAATGTATTATGTACTACAATGCAAATGAAAATAGTATTTTTATATCATATTACTACAATGTATACTATACATACAGTATGCGACTCCTGTCATACAGTTGTATCTCCCGGGATAAAAACTCCAATCTATGCTGCCCCCTTCCCACCCCTACCCCCTCAAGTAAATGTTGAATGTCTTTTGACTTTGTTCTTCCACCCCACGAAGAAGGCCATTTATGTGAATGTATGGATAATGGTCGCTTATTTTCAGAGTGAGAGGAAGCATTTGTAGACTTATGCATTTTGTTATGTGGTTCGTTAAAAAGTAACATGCGGCTTCCAAGTAATTCATATTTTTTCAACTTCATCTTGGTTCCTTGACCTTTTCATCCTTCATTATTCAAAGTGTTGGCTCAGTGAGTTGAGAAATGACAGATAAATGGCATTTGGATCACAGGAATTACCCCTTTTATTGTATCAGCATTGGGAGGAATCATCACTGTGAACCAACGGAACCCATATACTGTAGATATTGATCACGGAAGTCACATCATGAAACCGATCATCGCCGATTACGTGTTTGCAAATATTTATCAAACATTCTAATTTATTTCTTACACATGGTGTCAACATATGCTAATTAAGTTTAGACATCATTGCCACTGTTGATATTAAATTAATTTCATATTTGTTTAAATAATTGAAATTGTGTTTGGCTTGTTATTGTTGGTATACGATGTACAGAGGTTTTTATTGTGTGTCGTGTGTTAAAATAAAGTAACAACTCTATATACATTCCTACGACAAGCAGAACGTAGATAAATAAATCTCAAAGACGTGCAATACATAAAACATGATGGAAGGTGAAAACATTGCACTAATTATAGCCCTGGGAATGCCATAACAATGCAGGATATGGAAAGATTAATAGAATATCTCACCCCCTTGGGCTGAGGGGAATCTCAACCCGAGGGGGAAGATTCTGAAGTTGCCAAACACGAGGCTTTACCGAGTGTTTGGCAACTTAAGAATCTTTCCCCGAGGGTTGAGATTCCCCTATCTCACCAACAAGGGGATGAATGATTCTTTTCTATAACCCTGTTCTCCCATTGTGTTTCATATGCACAATGAAAAGATAACGTTACATGCTAAATTCAGGGTTGTCGTGAAGTTGATTGATTGTTCACTTGACGTCATTGTATTGGTTGAAGTGACGTCATCGTATTGTTGAAGTGACGTCATACCATTGTTATGATGATAATAGGGTGAGACAAGGAAATCTCACACCGGTAAAAGTGCGGATACACCTGTCCAGGGTAAGAGAATAATAGAATCTTACATGGGTCTGTTCCGTGGACAGGGATATCTCATCCCGAGTGTAAGAGTTTGGCTGGTCAGCACGAGCATACATACAAATAAACAAATTCCAGTCGAAATAAACATCGATCTTATTCTTCCGGCAAACCCCAAAGCCCTAGGGTTGAAACGGATGATTCCCCATTCACAACAATTGTATGACATCACAGAAACAATACAATGACGTCACGTCGACAATCCATTACTATGACGTCATAGCGCGCTGTCAGCTGTCTTTCCCTACTCCGTGTAAAATAGACTTAGCTTTTTCCTAGCAACAACGGGATCACCCTGTGAAGTATGTGAGAAAATTGAATGACACACCGTCAGTAATAACCTATACACAAATTTAAAACTGACTAGATGTATCATCGTATGGGTTTAAAGTAACGTACCTAGACTGTTACATCGATAAGTCATCGGAGACATTCACGTAATTGGTGACAAGTAGGGATGGCAGATACCAGCCATCAAAAGGCTTAAGCAGAAACAAATGATGACAAGACTTTGGCATTGTTAGTCCAATCCATACTGTCGAGAATGTAGAGCTCCGCCTCAAGTGGTGGATCATCGTCGCTGACCAATACAGATAAAAAGCACATATGAATGACAAAGGTAGGCTATATAGGTATGCCTTGTATCATGTACCCTAAATGTACCTTTTACAAACAAATCAAATCATAATATTTTATTATATATACTATCTGAATTAATTTGAAAAATCTATTATAAAGGGCAAAACAGTACATAAAATGAAATTCACCTAAAAAAGAGTTCTGGCCACTTGAATTATACATCATAGTGAGGGGAGATAGAATAAGGCAAGCGTCGTATACTCACGTCAGGTAGGGACAATAGAATAACGCAAGCGTCGTGTACTCACGTCAGGTAGGGATAATAGAATAACGCAAGCGTCGTAGACTCACGTCAAGTAGGGATAATAGAATAACGCAAGCGTTGTATACTAACATCAAGTAGGGATAATAGAATAACGCAAGCGTCGTATACTCACGTCAAGTAGGGATAATAGAATAACGCAAGCGTCGTATACCCATGTCAAGTAGGGATAATAGAATAACGCAAGCGTCGTATACTCACGTCAAGTAGGGATAATAGAATAATGCAAGCGTCGTAGACTCACTTCAAGTAGGGATAATAGAATAACGCAAGCGTTGTATACTCACATCAAGAAGGGATAATAGAATAATGCAAGCGTCATATACTCACGTCAAGTAGGGATAATAGAATAATGCAAGCGTCGTATACTCACGTCAAGTAGGGATAATAAAATAATGCAAGCGTAGTAGACTCACGACAAGTAGGGATAATAGAATAATGCAAGCGTCGTATACTCACGTCAAGTAGGGATAATAGAATAATGCAAGCGTCGTATACTCACGTCAAGTAGGGATAATAGAATAACGCAAGCGT